TTTTTGTGGCCCCATTGTCGAGCGGATGTGGAGGAAATGGTGCCGCACTTGACGCCTCAAGCTCCCGTCGAACTATTCGTGTTACGCTGTACTGCATGGGTGGTGCAGCACCGAGTTGGTGCAGGTTGATTTAACAGCCGTGTTTGGTAGCCGCCTAAATTGAGGCAGAAGGCGGCAGCTTTTGGCCATTTCGAAGCGGCGGCATTCCTTAAATATCATATCTACGGTCGTGCCGTTGGTGTACACGAGCAAGTTGAAGGCGTCGTCCTCGATGCCCTTGAGTATGTGGCCCACCTTGTCACTTACTGTCTTTTGCTCGTCCACTTTCCGGTACAACGCGAGCATGTCCTGTAAGTACGAGACATACGACTCAGTTGAGGAGTGCACATGAGTGGCGAGTTCTTTCCGTGCTTCCATTTGGTGACCGAACGGGTCCCCAAAGATGTCGCGTAGTCGCTCCTTGAAGATATCCCAGCTGGTGAGCTCAGTCTCATGGGCGTCGAACCAAACACGTGGGGTGCGCTCCAAGTAAAATATTAAGTTGGCGAGCACCATGGTAGGGTCCTATAGGTGTACATCGGTGTTCTATCGGCTCCGTATGTCCGGCTAACACGCTCGTACATACGGAGCCAGTAGTCAATGTCAAGCCCAGCTTTTGCGGATGATGCACCGCGATCACGAGGGTAGGGCATCGTCAGGTACGTAGTGACCAGAGCTACAGATAGACACGCTGATGGGTGGTTGTCATTGGTAGCTATGGCCGGGGACTGAACGGTGCGGCCACTGCGAAGCTTCGTGGTGAGGACGGCGAACATTCCACCTCCACCAATTATGTTACGGAAAAAAAGACATGCCGTATCGACGAGGCTGTGGATTAGATGTCTTTGAAACCAGCGGTAATGGTGTGACCAGTTGACCAGTGATCGAGCCAAGACAACCCTTCGTCTTCCTCATCATGCACACACGCGCGTCGCCTCCTAGAATATCGATTCGCATGCATGTAGCAATATATTCTATTACGTATATGTCGACGTTGTGCAAGTAGGTTTTAATTCATGCAATCTTGCAATGTGTGAGACACAGATGCAACTAGTTCTGAAGAAGATCACAACATGGTCAATTGAGAACGGTTTCAGCTTCAATGCTCAGAAAAGTACCTGCGTCTTGTTCTCTCGGAAGCGAAGCGTTTGTGCTGACCCAGATATCTACCTACATGGTCAGCATCTCTCCGTGAAGACAGAGCACAAATTCTTAGGCCTAATTCTGGATAATAAACTGACATTCATATCACACATTAGGCATTTAAAAAATGAATGCATAAAAACATTGAATGTCCTAAAATTATTGTCAAGCACCACGTGGGGTAATGTTAAAAATGCCTGATAGATTTGTACAATAGCCTTATACGCACCCGCTTAGACTACAGGGCAATAATCTATCAGTCTGCAACCGAAAGCGCCTTATAACTGCTTGAAACTATCACCATTTAGGCCTTCGCCTACGTACGGGTGCTTTTCGCGCTAGTCTCGTAGAAAGTCTCAACGTTGAGTTGAATGAGTGGACAGAGAGCCTACATGTCATTTGTATATTTTCTGACGGTGAACGCAAGCAAGGATCACCCTTCACACCCCATAGTCAATCACGTGTCCTCCTCAACTCTTTTTCACAATCACCTTTCGCTACGACAGCCCTATGTTTTCGTGTGAAGGACCTGATAGAAGAAATGGGTGTGACACTTTTCGAGCAGCATCTGGCGGCCCCCATGGCAAATTTCCCACCGTGGCAGTGGCAATTAAATGGTTGTGATGTGTCATTCGTGGATGTTAGGAAACATGCACCTGTTCAATATATCCGAACATACTTTCTTAAAGAGCAGCATAAGTAGACCTGTCCTTAGTTTTTTACGAATGTATCTCTATCTAACACTTCTGTATCATACGCAGCCGTCGGTCCATTCTTTTCGGATGTCGGCGTTCCGCACTCGGATACAAGCATTTTCACAGCAGAAGCTAATGTGGTTCTTGTGGCCGTAAAACACATTAAAGAATTAAAACTAAAGAATGCAGTACTATACACAGACTTACTGAGGGTAGTAAGGGCTTTAAAACCATGAAAAAGCACAAATATCATGTCTTTGTCTCACTATACACAATCGTTTGCGAAGTTTACACGCTTAGACAGCATATCGTGGTGTGCTGGGTGCCAGGTTACCGCAAGATTCACGGAAACGCTTAAGCGTATCAACTAGCAGCATCTGCCCAGGAAAACGCTGCCAATACGTGAAAGAACCCTAGGTGGTCGAAATTCCCGGAGCTTTCCTTTAAGGCGTTTCTTATAATTATATGGTGGTTATGGAACGCTTAAGGTTTTACAGCTCCAAAAATATACGGTGGACAGGAAAGGGCAGGACAAGCCCTATGTATTTTTCAGCACTGTTAAGCCTTAAGTGTGCTAAACCAACTAGCCCGATCAGCCATTTTGTTAGGTTTTAGGACGTTAAACCCGCATATTGTCGTCTTTGGATATAACACCTTGCAGTGAAGGAAGTGAGTTACCTGCGTAAAGTAACGCTGTGTCATAAGCATACATTGATAGTTAGGAGCACTTAAGAGCTGGCGGTAGATCATTCACGTATGGAGAGAAAAGAATGAGACCCTGTGGTACACCGCATATGACATCAGCAAAAGTAGATCAATATTTGTTAATTACCACTTGCTCTTTACATGTGCGGAAATAACTCAGGATGAATTGAAAAGCATTCAGAACAGTTCCGTAGGACTGTAACTTTTCAAAAAGTTTAGCGCGACAGAGTGTGTCGAACACCTTTCTTACATTGAGAAATATTGACACGCAATGTCGTCACATATGTCACATATATTAAAGACATATCATACATAAATATCCCATATTAGCAATGCACGAGCGTTAGTCAGCCACTTCAGTGTTTGTTGATTCGAGGCATGAATTGTGAGAGGGGTGGAGCCACAAGGCCCAGCAAACTCTGTGACAATAAGTTCTTTTTGAAACTTTCTCATGTGAGTCGCTCATTTTCTAAATATGTACTTACTTGACCAGTAACGTATGCGGTCGGGCTAGTTCGTGTGTAACTGTGCAGAACATTGTTGGCGCAAACTTAAAAGAAGTCGAAAGAAGAGTCTTGGAAAAGCGCTTTTCCGAGTCTCTTCTTTCGACGTCTTTTACCTTAGCGCCAATGATGCTCTGCACAGCATACCTACTTGACTTAAAGCTATCATATCTTGTTTTTAATTTACAGTGTCAAAGACGTAATACATCATTATTGAAAAATATTATATTTAGAGATAAGTGTCACCATGTTAAAAAAAGCGGTTTTATATTCATCAAGTTTCCCAAAGTCAGAGCAGAAAAAACATCGGGACCGACAAGAAAAGAGTGCTGCCTCTTTTCAAACTCACTTTTTCCTGTGTTTTCCCACTGCGAAATTCGCCATCATGAAATGCAGCCAACTAGCTCAAGCGTTTACACTTGCAATTCACGCCAGTGAACTCAAGAAGCTACTAGCTCAGGTCGACCTGTGAATCTGAGTGAGTCGGACTGTAGAACATATTGGTGTTTGTGTCTGAGTTGGTCAGGTTAGGAGTAAATAATCTTCGTCAGTCTGAGTTCAAGTAAGTTTGCTCGAGAAAAAGTGTGTTGAGTCTGACTTCAAGCACGCCCTAATAAAAAGATATGGTTCTTGAGGGAGTCCGAGTCAACTCCACCTTCTTTTCTAGGTCGATAGTTTGGTGTTCTCACTCTCTATTTCACTCTCATAAGGCTGCACGAAATATATATGGACATGCTCTATGGGCCCGGGCCTCCCTTGAAATTTGGATGGAGGAGCTGTTCTAACGAGAACAAATAATTAAAGTAGGTTTCTTTCAAGGCCCCCAAGAAATGGGCCTGGTGTCGAGAAAATGCTTGGCTACGGGACTTCCTCTAGAGGCAGTATTTTTAGTTCTGATTTTGGTCCAATATATGTGCAAACAGAGCTGATTATATCACTATTACATTGTGACGTGGTGCTGTGACTTGTAGAGCAGGAACTAGAAGGCAATCCTGGGGCAATCATTTCATTTGGGCCGAACAGTGGTCCTCAATCGCTGCAGTAACAACCGAAAGGCGTGTTTGCTACTTGTGAGTGTCACATGGAAGAACGCCCGTGGCTAGGGGCTGTTGATTCTATGCAGCGTTCAGGCTAGCACTCCTTATTAACGCATCAAGTGAACAGCATGGAAGGCGACACCGTTGTTGAGGCATGATTATACTAGGCACACACTTCCGCGCACGTAAAGATGAAAGACGCACGTAACAGTCCCCGTTCATCGACAGCAGTTCCTCTGCAATATTTGTGGACGCGTTCACATCAACCATTCCATCCATCAGTGTGATCTTGAGACGCAGTGGTTTGCGGCTACATTGCTGGCTCTGTCAGAAATGAATGAACCCCTGCCTTAGATTAAGAACCACCATTTTTATTTTACTGCTTGTGCCGACCCCTCTTTCTTCTTTACTTCTATGTTTTCGTACTTGTTACCACCTGTCCACAGTCATCAGCACCATATTGCCAAGGGGCTACTAAGGCAATACTCTGTTGATCCCTTTGGCCCCGTTAAAACACGTTGCTGTTCGATACGGGCGGGGGTAACAAAAACCAAAACATTGAAGCGAAGGAGAAAGAGATTGAGGCACGAGCAGTGAAATAAAAATGAAAGTTCCTATTCTAGGGCTCGGGTTCATTATTACGCGACATTCTTTCGGTCACGTAAACTAGGAACCCTTACGCTACAATAAAGATTCCTGGTTTGATCCCGGGTTTTGGCACCAGAAAGAATGCCACATAATAATGAGCCCGAGACCAAATACTCTATGTTTCCTCTACGGTTCCTGCCTAAAATCTTCTCGTCGACGTTTCCTTCGTATTGCTATCATTAGGTAATCATCAGCAAAAAGCCTCACTGTGCTTGAACTGGACCGTGCAGGTCAGCGACGGGCGAGTCATGGCAGGAGATCATGCTATCGTGCCTGAACACGGAGGATGTTCGTTGCGACAAAGCCTCTGAAGAAGGAGACCAGACCCCTTGTGGGAGTGACGTGGCGCTCATCTATTTCATCTCCTTCTACATCCTCTGCTCCTTCCTGGTGAGTGTTGCTACTCTGCTCACACCAGCCATTCCCAGGATTGAAGGACCTCACTCGGTTTCGCCAATGGCATACTGCATAAAGTGAATGGAAAATAGGCGAAAAATTCGGCCCTATTGTTCAGTCACTCTAGAAAATTTCTACTGTGACGCTATATTTGTACTTTGCCAATTAAGGCGGAAATGGTGTAGGCCCGTGTGCTCAGCTTCGGGTGCACGTTAAAAAACCCCAGGTGGTCAAAGTTTCCGGAGCCCTCCACTGCGGCGTCTGTCATAATCATATGGTGGTTTGGGACGTTGAACCCCGCTTATCAATCAATTATTTTAACCTTGAACGCTCCAGCAGATAACCGACAGCCGTTATTGCTAGCAAGATAGTTTTTTCGTCATGTATTGTGAATATATATTGTTAACATATTTTTTATTTTTGTGCACGTTTGTAACAAATATGCATCTATGAGGTATGATGACCGTTGCCTACTCTTGCTGGTGGGCCACTATAGTGTCTGTGTGTTTTGATCGCGTGCAAAGGACGTTCTTTTCACTCCGCCGATTCTTCGTGGCGATATTGAAATAAATTCTGGACCCAACTCCAATGAAAAGCTTCGGAAGCTTTTGGAGGGCCAAAAGATGATGCAAAATAGCATGGACTTAATTGAATCCAAATTGCAACAAGTTGAAGCATATACATCAACACTTAAATAATTCGGTACCAAAATAACAGGCCTCGAAAAAACTATCCATAACTTGAAGAAAAAACTCGTTGACCTAGAAGACAGAAACGTTCGTAATAATCTTCATGTATTTGGTCTTCCAGTGCAAGTGAGCGAAACGCCAAAGTCGCTTTTCGCTAGTGTGGTTGATGATTTATTTGCAAAAAAAAACTCAATCTTTAGGTAACTGCTGTTGAGCGAATCCACAGACTAAAACGCACACAAGCAAGCAGGCCACGGCCTGTTGTCCAAAAAATCATTGTCTGCCGTGAAAAGACAAATGTTTCAAGAAATTGCTAGAAGATTGAAGGCCACAAAGTTTCAATCAGTGAAGATTTTTTACTGCCACTAGAGCACTGCGCAACCAGTTGTGGGTTAGTGCTGCGAAGGAAAGGAACAAAAGAAAGAAAGTTATAATAATATACGACAAGATTAACAATGGTGGCACGCTGTTTCGATAGAATAGTAGCAATATTCAAAGGGTACCTATCCTTAGCGATAAAAAGTCTTCCTTAGATTTTGATGTTCAAAGCGTGAGTAGGCTGAGGCGCATTCTATGAACTGGGGGGTGTTACAAAAAAAGCATCCGCTGCCTAAATATTAATGCTCGTTGCATTCTCAAGATATTAGTTGACTTAGAAAGTATTATCACAGCGCGTAATACGCACACCATTGTTGTAACGGAAACATGGCTACATCAAGACATCACTGACCATGAGTTAACACTAACTTTAGAGTTTACCGCAATGACTGGAATGGTAGGGGAGGAGAAGTTGCTATTTTACTCAAACAATCGTTGCGAGCGTACAGGTTACCTAACGTGCCACAAATTGAGAGTGTTGTGAGTGTGTGCTTAAGGTATTTCTTGAAGAATGCAACCTGGTTGTATTCGAAAGATATCGTCCCCCGAGCTCGGATAGTTTCTTTGCTTAAAACCTCAACGGCTTTTTGTGTTTGAAGGTGATTCAATCCTGCAACCTGTTGCTCGTTGGAGATTTCAATTTACCAGCGATTAACTGGTCAGGTGATTTCACAAAAGCTCTTTGTGACGCGTCTCAACCTTTCGTTGAACTTGTCGTCTTGCGCAATTTAACCCAATTAGTGAAAATACCGACTTGCACTCAGCAAAGCGCAGAGTCCATTTTGGACCCTTTTTTTGTTTTCTTTTAGCTACCAAGGCCACATCGAAGAATAGACATTTTCGATGGCATATCTTACCATAAAATTGTATCGTTAACTTTAGAAATGCAGTTTTCTTCGGAACAAAAAATAAAATATATAGTAATATCATGGTTTTCTCATGCTAGTAATGTTGATGTACTGAATTTGCTTGGTACTTCATTTTCCGATTTTAGCACTCTGTACGAATCAACTGATGGCTCCGATGAACAAATGTGGCGTTTCTTTAGGAATTAGTTTTTCGATGCATTATGCAGTTTGTACCCAAAAAACGAGAGCTTGTGCGCTGCTGTCACCCTTGGTTGACGAATAACCTTGTTCGTATTGGGCGGGAACATGAAAAGGTGAGAGCTAGGTATCAACTTGTACTAGTGGCAATATTTGCACAGCGCAAGGCTACGAGTAGTAACGACGTAACTACAAAATAAGAGACAAGGGCAGACAAGGACAGCGCTGTTTCTGTCCTTGTCTCTCCTTCAGTAGGTACGTCGTAACTACTCACAGTCTAGCGCTCTGCAAATGTGCTGATCCCCAATCACCAATTAGCCCAAGCATCTGTCTTATCAAGACAGCTAGGTATAAACTTCATCCAACAAGTTCTAACGCAGAAAAGATGACCGAGCTGCGCGTTACGCTAGATAACGGCATCAAAAAAAGCAAAAGAATATTTCTAAAACGTGAAAATAAAGAACTTTCTCCTTTCATCCCCTGATAATTTCTGACGATACTTCTCACCGAAAAAAAATGGTGCTTCGTCTATTAGTCGGTGATGCAATACTCGACGACAAACTTGAAGTACCTCAAATACCTAACACATATTTTTGTTCTATCTTCACTCAAGATATGCCAGTGTTCCAAAAGTTTCACTTGTCGAAGAAATACCGCCAATTGACAATATACTCGTTAGTAAGGAGGGTGTCCTGACGTTGCTTCTTAATCAAGATACCGAGAGACCTCCTGGCATTGATGAAATACCAAATGCTTTCCTTGTGCGTTATGCTGAATAGTGTGCCATGTATTTTACTTCATTGTATCGTAATTCACTCGTTCGTGCCGAACTTCAAGACAACTGGAGATTTGATAAAATTGTCTCCGTATCAAAATCAGCGTACCACTTATCACCTTCGTCATACAGGCCTATATTCATTTTATATACTTCAGTGAAGCTGCTTGAACATATTATATTCAAGCACATATCTGTCTTTGTTGAGAACAATAATTCAATTGATTATCGACAACACGGATTCCGTAGAGAGCTGTCTGCAAATACTCAACTAGTCTTAACAATAAATGACTTTTCTTTGGCGTTAGACAGACATAATCAGGTAGATATAATATTTCAAGGCTTCGAAAAAGCCTTTGATCGGGTATCACACTCTAAGGTCATAGTAAAATTTAAGCCAATCTTCAAAAATGATCGCCTTGTGGCCTGGATTACTGCGTACTTCTCGTCAAGGCAGCAATGTGCGATCAATAATGACACGACTTCTCCTTCAGCTCCGGTGGCATCTGCTGTACCTCAGGGCTCTGTTCTTGGTCCTTTATTTCTTCTGCTATTCGTCAGTGATATTGTTCAGAGCATAGGCGTAGGAATCCGGCTGTTTGCAGACGACTGCGTAATATACCAAGAAGTATGTAATCCTAATGATCAGGTCCTACTAAACAGAGCATTAAGTACAAATGCGAACTGGTGTAGTACATGGCAGATGACAGTTAATAGCAAAAAAAAAACAGTAGCAATGACCATAACCCGCAAGAAGCAACCACTCAAATTCACGTATTTCGTCAATAACCAGCCAGTATGTTTGTGCAAAGCTATAAGTATCTAAGAGTAATCATAACCTCCGATTGACGCTGGAATTAACATGTAGCGTTTACTGCTAAAGAAGCTTACAGACAACTAGGTTACCTTCGGAGCACGCTGGGTCATTGAACACCAGAAATAAAATTATTAGCCTACAAGACGTTTGTTAGGCCTATATTGCAGTATACTGGGGTGGCCTGGGATCTCTGGACAGCCCTTAATAAACGGGAACTGCAGGGTGTCCAAAGAAAATATGCTAGGTTCATGCACAACAGTTATAATCAGAAAATATCTCCATCGCACCTCCAAAAGAAAGCAGGACTAGAAGACCTTGAAACAAAGCGCTACCACGACAGGCTGACGCTTATTTATTTACTTTATTTCAATATCTTACGGGTTCATCCATCTCAACTCGTAGCACCCGCCATTAGCCGCTTAACTCAGTCTTATCACACAAAAAGTGTGGCTGAGCTCAAGTGCAGCACGAACACTTTTCTGCACTCTTTCTTTCCACGAACAATTGTCCAATGAATTGCCTTACCTTATGATGTGGAGCACTGCATAACATTGATTCTTTTATGCATGCGATAAAAGATATGGCTCCATAAGCGCTGTGGCGCTTGGTGGGCGTAATGCGACGGCATGTATTCCCTTGTGTTGCCATGTTCAAATGAATGCTGAAACTTTTTTTCTGTGCTATGTTAGTACGGTTTCAGTGCTTGTATGGGCTCTGTGCAATGTGGGTTATTGTAATATGGGTCTTTTGGGCTTTGCAGCGCTTACTGCCACAGAGTTTGTTGGATCTTGTTGTTTTTGCATACTTTTCAATGTCACTATTTCACAATATATTACTTCATGTACTTCTTTTTTGTCTTCTTTTTTCCAACTTGTGTTGTGTTACTTATTTATGACCCATTCCTGCCTAAGGCCTTCATGGAAGGCCAGCAGTATGTAACAAAATAAATCAGATAAATTTATGTGCCCATTTGCCAATCTCGTACGGCAGGCTATCTCTGGTATGGTCTAAATCATGACAAAGCGAAACAGACCCGTACTTGGCTCGTTCGCGCACACACGACTAGTTGGTGCCCTGTGTCCCACGGAACGACAGGAGCTTTGCGAATGACACTGCTTTGCACGAAAAAACAGGGTATACCAATTGCTTTACTGCCTTTCGGAATTAGGCATTGACACAGCGCAGAGGCCTGGCTGCGTACAAACAGTCTGGCATGTATTTCTTAAAAAACCCTCGTACAACTTCATGTTATTGTTTTGTAAATATGATGTGTGGATCGCATACTTTTG